TTTAGCCTTAACGTCACTCCAGTCTTCCCATCTCGGTAGTCTATAATATGCTGATAATTGGAGCCAGACACAAAATTGAAAGCTGCAGTGAAGTGTGCCTAAAGAAGACGCGTGTACAGTAAGCCTGTGCGAAGTGGCTAGTATTTGCTTTGGATTTGGATTCGGCTGATTCGGGGGACAATGATTTGATTCAGTGATTTGAATCACTGTCCCGATTCGATTCAGTTGAATCTAATTTGGAGATTTGACTGCTGCCGAATCTCCGAATCAGCCAGGCCCATCCCCTGTCTGCCCACCCCAGCTCCTGGCACTTGGAAAAAAAGAGCTCTGACTCAGCGGGTGCTGCCGGGAGTGGTGGTGGGGAGGTGATCCTTGCTGCCCCCCCCATGGCTGCCCCACCCACTGTGGCTCTGGCCCTTTAAGAAAAAAAAAAACCTGAGAAAAACCCTGGACCTACTGCTCCTGGCAGGGGGGGGGGCGATCCCCACTGTCCCACACCATGTGGGGGGCTCTTCCATGAGTGCCCCGAAACCACTGCAGGAGCGGTGAGCCCCGGGGTTTTTCTTGTTATTTTTTTTCTTAAAGGGTCGGGAGCTAGGGTGCACAGGGCACCTGTGGCGGGCTGGGGGAGCAGGCAGGGGATGGGGACTGGCAGGGGTCCCTCCATGGTCCCCCCCGTACAGCCCCTCTCTCCCCCAGCCTCCTACTTACCAGCTCTGAGTCCGGCTGCAGCTCCCTGCACCGGGGACTACCCGAATCATTGAAGCTCTTCGAATCTTTTCCAAAGATTCAGAGAGCTTTGAATCAATTCGGACCTTTTAATCGGTCCCCTGATTTGATTTGGATTTGGAGATTCAGCAACCGAATCAGGCCGAATCTCCTCCGAATCGAATCAGCACCCAAAGCTTTGCACAGCCCTAATGTATAGTGGGCCTTGTTCAAATATTCAACCATTGTTATGTAGTGGGCAACCATCGATCCTCTGGATCATGGTGTACACGTAAGAAGTCTAGTCAGATGTCTGATGAATCTGTTTGTGGCTGACAAGCCCAATTCAAGAGCGACACAGCTTGTTACAAGTTTCACAGATCCGTATGTTGACTGAGTTGGAGTTTATAGCGCACCGTTCTCTTCCTTCTCACTTTGCTTCTTCCATCCTCTGGATCAAAGCGGCTTCATGTTAAGTTGCACCCAGTGCCAAGTGTTCCCTCTAGATTGGATGGGATTTTGCGCACTCCTCCCAGCTTTCTACATTGATGTTGAATGACTTCATATTTTTGTACATGTCGTGGTAGTGCCATAAAGGGTGACCCCGCTTTCTAGAGACATCTCGAATCTCATTATAATAATTATTCTTGGGGATACTGTTTCATCCCATTCTCCTGATGTGGCCGATCCATCGCAACTTTTTCTTCTTGATAGTGGTTTCTAAGTGTGTCAGTTCTGCATGTTCCAGTACCTCTGTGTTTGGTATCTGCCAAACACAAAATTAAAAGCTGCAATGAAGTATATCTAAAAAAGATGCATGTACAGTGGTTTTTGTTCAAGTACTCAACCATCGTTACATACGTATCCCTTTTTGTCCCGTCCAGGAGAACTGATTGCCAGGTTCACTGCAACCAATGCATTTGCACTAGAGAGGTATGTTTTACTTGGTAATATTTTTATTCTCTGTGCCCTGCAGGAGTGAATGTGAGGCAAGCAGTTGGCTCATAAAGCATGCCAATCCAAGAGGGCTTCTGGATTAATCGGAAACCACAAGAGTTTAAGGGGAAAATTCCCTTGCCTTGCACTGCAATGTGTTTGTTATTTGCAAGAAGATCAGACAATGATTCTCTTTGAAACGGGCTCTAATTACATTTCCTTTCCCAAAAGACTTTTTAAGTTGTGCCCCATACAGGGGGTGGTCCATGAAGTCTTGTATATTCATTTACTACTGTCTTCTAATTCTTAACTGAAGCATGAAAGGGTTTGGCAGGTGAAGCTAAAACACTCTCTCTGGATACGTCTACATTGCAATCTGAAGGTGTGATTATGGAGATGTATCTGATGTAGAGCAGGTCCTCGTAGAACTGTAGCTGCACCAATATGGAGCTTCACCTGGGCTTGCCCCCAAATATTCACCCAGTGTCCCAGGCAGATTTTACACCCCAGATTGAACACTGTCCGGCTGAGACTTCACTAGTATTGGCATATGGGTTAGATGGTTGAAGGCTAGCTCAGGCATGTCTTCATGAGCTGCAGTCATGGCTCTATTGTTGCATGAACACTTTGAGTCTCCCTGATAGCTCCAGTCCCCATGTTAGTGCTAAGAGTCTGGACTCTAATGGAAAGAGGCTGAGGAGTGCTTCCCATTTTCCTTCTTAGCTTTGGAATATTTCAGGAAGAAAGGTGCCAGCATGGATATTTGTCAGTGTAACAGTCTATCTAAATTAGCTTCATACTCTTGATGCAGACAACTGTAGTTCATGATCTCTGTTGGAGCAGGACCTGGAGCTGTTATCTGAAATTGGGGTTCCAGCTTACTAAGCACAGAACAAATACTTTGCCCCAAAGGGTGAAAGAATTTAAGTACTATTGTCCCCATTTTATAGATGGCAAACTGAGGCACAAAGACATTAAACACTTTGCTTAAGGACTTCCAAAATGAGGAAGGTCAGGGACTGCATTAAGTTCTCCCAGCTTCAAGCCCCATACAAGACCTTGCTTCCTCATGTGCTACTTGCTACTGAGTGCCACACATGAGTTTAGAGAACAGCTTTTGTTGCCATGACAGGCTGAACATTTGCAGGAACAATGGAGACCCTCACAATAATGACAGTTCAAAATTATCAGCACTGACACAGGCCAAAGCACCTATCTTAAATGGTGGTCACCTCCATGGTGAGGACTCGGACCTGCTAGAATGATGATGAAGAAGAGGAGGAGGAGGAGAATTTCCTTTCGTATTTTGGAAAGAACCAAAAGATGCATTTGTATTATATGTTGATGAAATATTTTCTATCCTAATAGGAACTAAGGAAGAAGTTTAAATTCACTGGGGGAAAAAAACCAACAACAAACATTTCTATCTGAGCTGGTCTAGAGAACTTGCATTTGAGAGTTTTAAAAGACTTGGCCAGCGAATGTCCTGGACCATTAATGTTGTTTTTAAATAAATCTTAGAACACAAAGGACCAAAGGAAAGCTTCTGTTATGCCAATATTTAAAAAAGGATAAAACATATTGACTTGGCTAGTCATATTCCTGTGACCCAGATTTCCATCCCAGGTAAAAATAATGGGACAGCTAACATGGGTTCTGCTAATACAAAATTAAAGGTGGCTAATATAAATTAATGCCAATCAACATGGGTGTTTAGAAATCAGACCTTATCAAATTAACTTGAGGTATTATCAATGAGATTTCATAGAAGTTTGAGAAAGATGGAAACTTAAGATATGTAGGTGAAAAAACTCAGACCTTGAAAGACATTTGGCAGGCCTTAAAAACTCTGAATCTATGCATTTAACCTTCTTAGATACTTCTATACTTCCCATCAGCGTATTATCTAAGGGATACCAACACACATGCTCACAAGCCAGGAAATTCTGGGATAAGATGAATAGTCGATCCATTTACTCACTCCCTGGCTGTGGAAAAGTACAATAGAATGAGTAAAGGGAAAAGTAACACCCATTATTTGGAATTTCCCTGGTGTTATGTACAGCACACATCTAGTTGCCAGTTGCTAGCAGTTTCCCTGGCTCAGCATTCCCGGCAAGGAGACTTGTGTTTGTTTTTAATTATCTGTGTTCTTAAAGAAAAATCCCTGATGCTTGTGAAACCCTTTCTATACCTGAATATAAGTCTGCTCAGGTAGAAAGGTACTGAACATTGATGATTCCAGGTATACAGGTGAAAAAGTATTGTCGATACTCCGATGCTGGGGGGTTCTGCTTTGGTTTGTTTTAGGAATAAAAATAAATCAGGAGCCTGCTGTAATTGTGAGGAAGACTAAATGATCATATGAGGACAACATCTGCTTGTCTTAATAGGCCAGCAAACACACAGTTTATTCAGCACAGGTTGCGCATTCTGTGACTCCCTGCCCAAAACCTCCGAAAGAGAAGACATTACAAAAAAGAGACTGTCGCTGTCCATATAATCAGCCGATATGAATCAATGGGCTGTGAACAGTTAAGGTTGCTTTCTAATCCTTTCATACCCTGTATTTCATATCCTGCCTAAGGCTAAAAGGCAGTCTCAGCCATGCCCTCTGTGACCCCTCCGCAAAGGTTAGCTAGGGTGCGGCTCCTATAAAAGGGTCACTTCCATAATATCTGGATCCCTAACCCTGTCATTTTCCTCTGGATTTATGGTTGTTATTAGTGAGTGCCTGCCAGCTCCAGGTGGACAGTCTAAGGGAATGGAGGCAGGTTGGGAGGCGGGGAGGAAACCATTATTCATTGTAAAATCATTAATGTGCAATTAACTGAACTCTGATATCACCTCCACCACACCAAACAGCTGGGCTACACTGGGCATCGCCAGGATAGATGGATGGAGGGTCTGTGCTGAGTTTCAAAATTCCCTTGACAGTCATTGCCAGGCCTATATGACTTCATCTCTCTTAATGTTATTCTTTTAGAGTCAGGGATAACATTGAGTTTCCATATCTTGTGGTTTTCTGGAGGGTGTGAATAAATTCCCTCACTCTGACTTGTTGAGGTATCTGCAAACCCAACCCAGCAGTGGTGGAGACATTGAGCAATTCTGGAGAGAAAAGATCCACTCTAGGGAAGTGACAAGCTAAGACTCATCGTGAGGGTGATGCATCCGAATGCTCACGGTGGGTCAAACCAAAGCCACCAAAAGCCATTCCTGGAACTCACTAAGATGACCAGTGCAACGGAGACCCAGCAACCTAGTCTCAGGCATGTGGAAGACACACTTGCACAAAGTGAGTGCAGCCCTGGGGCAGAGACTCCACTAACTCATCACACACCCAAGAGACTCACCTGTAGACCAGTTAGCACGTGCAGCATTTGGGAAGGAGGCAGGATCAGCTGGAGTGTTATGTCGATTCCATGGGAAGAGGATGGAAATAGCAATGTATGCAAAGTGTACTCATCCACAGCTTGAATAGCATCTTCAGGCTTCACGCTCCTTTTAGCTCACTTGGGTGAACTTGCAAAAGATTGAGGAAGGGCTCAAACATTAAAATGATCATAGATTCCATGTGTAGAGACAGGGGATGGATGAACCTCAGGTTTAGAGAGCGAGTCCCTCAAGAGTCTGATTCTTCTCCGTGCCTCCTGGGCCTAGACAATCTGGCTAGGACAGTCCCTCTTGTGGTACATCATCTCTTTTGGACGGATGGGAAAGGCAGGATTGGAAGAAGACCTTGCAAAACATTGAGGAAGGGCTCAAACATTAAAATGACCATAGATTCCATGTGTAGAGACAGGGGATGAACCTCAGGTTTAGAGAGCGAGTCCCTCAAGAGTCTGATTCTTCTCCGTGCCTCCTGGGCCTAGACAATCTGGCTAGGACAGTCCCTCTTGTGGTACATCATCTCTTTTGGACGGATGGGAAAGGCAGGATTGGAAGAAGACAGGACAGTGGAAAATAATGCTATAGTTGAGGCATTGCCTTGGGACCCCAAAGACCTAGGCTTGATTCCCTGCTTTGCCAGGACTTTCTGCAAGATTTAGGCCAGTCACTGCATTTTTCTGTGCCTCAGTTCACCATCATCAAAATGAGGATAATGATCATTCCTTTGTCCGTCCAGTCCATCTCAGCTGTACCCTTTAGGACCAGGATCCATTCTGGGCTGTGTGTGAAGCAGAGTGCCTACTGAACAGGGCCTTCTCTCTGTTGGATGTTAGTGGTAACCCTGGCATGAAAATTAAAAGAACAATAAAGTTAAACTTTTTCAAAACTCCAGACTCTTTTTTTAATGGAGTTTGTTTTGCTTTGAGATTTTGAACAAAGGTTCGGTTCGTGTCTCATCTGGGCCATTCCACCCATCATTAGCTGGGAGTAATGATACCTATGGAGGGGCTTAGCTCTAGGAACTTGCCTGCTCAGTCTGCTACAGCACAGGCAGCTTCAGCTGACTCCAAAAAGCCAGGATGAAACTCCTTCCCCTTCTGAGGCTCCGGGACTCCAAAACAAACAAAGCAGCCCAGCCTGTTTCTGAGATTGTTACAGCCTTGCTTCCTTTCCTGCTCTGACATCAGCCAGTCTCTCACCACCTCTTAGTGTTCCCACTCAGAAAAGCACGGGCAAGGCATAAGCTCACGGACTGATTTCTTGTGGAGGAAGGGAAGTCAGCCGGTTCTAGGCACCGGTTCTGCTCCTTGACATAGGTGATGGCAGGAGGCAGTATGTGTGGGCCTGCTGACTTTGGAAAAGGAAGAGACATGGAATAAATCCTGGCATTCTCGCTCAGCTCTGCAGGACCCCAGGCTCCTTGTACACATGGAGGAGAAGGCTTGTCTAGTGGGCAAAATACTGTAGCTCATGTGGGTCCCATCTGTGGCTCTGGCATTGACTTGCAGGATGTGACCTGGAATCATGACTTAACCCCTGTGTGTCATCTCTTGAATGTGGAGGATAACCCCCTACCCTACAGGGAGCTATTTCGGTTTAATTCATTAAGGACTGGCGCATTCTCAGATCTTCAATGCATAGCGCTATAGACGTATAATTGAAGTGGGGTAAATGAGAACTGGAACAGCAGGGCTGAGGCCAATGGTCAGTGGCGTGTTAGAGGGAGAGGAGGAAACAACTCCAGTTGATCGCTATCCAAACACTGCTGACAAGAGTTTGAGCAGCATTTCAGTTTGGAAAAGGGCGGGCCAGACCAGATCCCCTATCCAAAACTCAAAGCCAGTTTTGAAATACATATTTCTCTCTTCCTCTTTTTTCCCCCCTTGCCTCTGGCCTGGGTGGGAGTAAGAGTGCTTAAATACCATAAAAGAATCTGGGCTTGAATTTTTCCAGCCCATCCAGAAGCAAGTAGTTCTGGGACCCTTATGGAAGAAAGAGCCTGTTCTCATGCAGCTTGCACTGATTGATTATGCCTGAGTAGGCTGCAGCAGAGCCTGATAGAGAGGACAGGAAAAGCAAAACTTTTGTTTCCTTTTCTTTGGTTAAAATGTCATTCTCATCCTAGTGTTGCGACAAGGAAAACGCATACTTCAGTGCAGTGCATGGACAGGGGAACTTAGAATTAAGGTTTCACAATGAAACTCAGCTGACACTGCCCCAGGTTGCCTAACCAAAGCCATGGCCATTCATTGGCTCTGGTGTCGTTATCTGACCAAAAGGCTTGAAAACCTTGGTGTACTTTTTGCTAGTGAACCTAACCGTAAACTCCTGAGATTCTGTAAATCTGTGTAACCTGAGGCTTGGTTTTGGCTTTGGGTTTATTCAGCCTGTCTTGGCATTTCTCCTCATTTGGGACGTTGGTTACACAAAGGCTGGCAAAACTCAGATTCTCATGAGGTTCCCCAGACCACAAGCGTTATAAGCAGGAAAACTTTTGACATGAACTACAGTATCTGAATGTTTCCCAGAAACAAAGGAGAACCCTAAACTCTTTAGAGATAGTCTTTACCCATCCTCACGCTGCCTTTCTAAGTAGCCCAGAAGGCTGCCTGCAGCATCTTCTCTCAGTCAACATATTGCTAGGTATAAAGCCCATTAAAACTGATAAAAAACCATAATTTGATTCCGATAGACTTTGGAATAGCTATCTAGAGGAACAAGTGTATGAAAAAAAAATGGGAGTGGGGCAGGGAGAGACCTAATTTAAGATTATACAAGCGGAAATTGCAAAAAAAAATTACCTAAAGCTTTAGGAACATATTTATATTTTGATTTCATGTAATATTACTTCCTGGTTTCTAGTACATATTCCCTGGGCGTCCCCTATCAAATATCAGGCAGTATTAAATCACTGATCCCTGATCCCCGCAGCTCTCAGAAAAACATCTGTACTAATTTGTTGGTTTTCCTTAACATAAGGGCCAGATGAACTCCTCCAGGGCTCGGCCGAGCAAGATCGCTGACAGATGCAGAATAAAAGCGCAAAGATTTTTCCTTTATTAAAAATAAGGTTCCATAGATTCCAAGCCCTTCATTTGTAATTTGCTAGGGTGGTGACACGCTGCAGCCTTGGCCCAACACTGTTGTGGATACAGAAACAAGATTCTTACCTAATGCTAATCCACTACCAATGTTTTCTGACATTTCCAGATTGGCATGGGACTGACTGCATCTGATCACCAAATTCCTCATGCAAAACCTTTTGCTTGGGCATCACTGGAATGATTCAAAGTCATATATAGTAACTGAAGTGCAGAGATGTATGGGGACTGACCGACTGCTTGGCCCTCTCAATGACTGGAGATACTATCACACCCCCTTCCTTCTGGTCAAGTGTCCAGGTTGGCAAGATAAAAGACACCATTTTCTATTACCAACTACCTGAGCCTCTCAGACTCTTATATATGCACTGTGTTAAAAACAAAACCAAAAAAACCCCAGAAAGCTTCTGAGGCGTAAAACTATTTAAGTGGCAAAGAAATGCCAGCTTTGAGGCTGCCCCGGAAATCTTATTTTTGCTCCTTTATTAAAAGTGAATTGCATGTGGCAAAGGCCCTGTGGGAAAAAATTGTTATGCGATCATGTAATAAAAGACTGCATCATAATACAAGGGACAGAATTAAGGCTGCCTGAGCAACTGTAAATCTGGTACTTCCTGTTATTTGTGAGCTTGACTTTGCAACATTACATTATATTAATGTCCGTTCCTAAAAATGCAGCTTCCGATACTTTTTAAGAAAAAGATAAACCCATTCTGTGACACAATCGTAGAGAAGTAGTGCTAGAAAGGACCTCAACAGGTCATCTAGTCTGACTCCTGCTCCAGGCGGGAGAGCCTCAGCTAATCTCTCCCCTGCTCTCTTATCCAAGACTGTAGCAGATGCTAGGCAGGAGTGTGTGGATCCCTCCGCCTGGTGAATGGAGCTGCCCATGCTGTGTGCTCCCTGACAATTACTCCAGGAGGTAAAGGATGCCCTGCTGCCCACTACCCTCACCTCTATAACTAGGTCCTACACGAGGATCTGTCCCCACCCACCAGTATCCCCCAGCCCTCCGCAGCTAGTTGTGGGGCAGCTTCCTCGGCAGGGCCCCGTGGCACTCTCTGCCTGTAACAAAAGCCAGTCCTAGGGGTGGCTGTGACACCTCCTGGTGGCTACTCAGTCCTTGCTTTGCCCTCATCTTCCCCTTCTCTGCACTAGCCACACCTTGATGTACTTATACATTTAAGAAAAGGGAGGCTGCCCCAGGGATTCCCGGCAAGCTCTCATCCACTCCTGGGACTGTGTGTGTTCTGGTTATGTCCTTGAGCCCACCCTGACTCCCATCTCCACGCTGCTCCCAGGTACCTATTCCCCCCTGGGCACTAGGCCCTTCTGGTCCCTGCCCCAGGCTCTGGACTTGTTCTGGTCCCTTCTCACTTTCCTCCCATGTACCTAGTCCCTCCTGGGCACCAGAGCCTCCTGCCCCCCACCAGCAACAGACCTTCTCTGGTCCCATCTCCCCCTTCACCCAGGCTCTCACCCTGCTCCTGAGCCTCCTGGGACCTCCTCCTCCTTCTCCCACTTAGTGCCCCCACGAACCTCCAGATGTTACCACAGTCTGTAATCTCCTCGGTGTTATTCAGGAACTGCAGCCATCCTGCTTAGGAGCTGTTCTCTCAGCAGCCTCCAGGGCCAGACTACCTGCTCAGATCAGGCCTGGGCTTATACACTGCAAGCCGTGCCCTCCTTTGGGCCAGGTGGCTCCTGATTGTCTCCTGCCACACCTGCCACCTGCTTCCTTTGCAGCCTGCCTGCTCTTAAAGTAGCAGGAGCACTCAGCCTCCTGCTACGCTGCCCCCCCAACACCAACTTTGCAGGCTGGGGGATAGCAAGCTGGTCCACCTCCAAACAGCCCACCACTGGCATCTCTGTATTAGGGCTGTATGAAGCTTTGGGTGCTGATTCGATTCGGAGATTTGGCCAGATTCGGTGGCCGAATCTCTGAATCCAAATTAAATCAGGAGACCAATA